CAGTTCAGGCAGATACGAGGAAAACGAATTTTTTTACGCTTAAGCTCTTGTTGGAATACTAAGCTTTTGTAGCGTTCTCCGAAAGACGTCAAATACCTTGTGCTCAAATGCCGGAACCATGCATTGTGTCTAGCTTTTATAGATAATTATTTCGCTCTCAAGAGTCGTTACTTGTGGCTCCTTTGGGCGAAAACTGCGCTGCGGTTCAATGAGACGAGGGTTGCTTAGAGTCGTTGTAGATTTGTTTGTAATTTCCAAGTGCTTTTTGAGCAAAGATCTAGCTTCGAACACGAACAAAGCCTTCAGTGACAAACTGGATGAAGCTCGGGAGTGCGTTGTTTATTTGGTGAACAAACCCTTTATTCCGTAATGGGACCAACCAAAGCTAAGAAAGCCGTGAATGAGCCGGTACAATTTTTTTTCAATCAGCATTTGACAGTTCTTAAGGTATCAGTGTAATCGCAACATGGCTGAAATGATGGTATCCAAACATCGTAAATTAATCACGTTCGAGCACCGCGTACAAACCACCGATTGCACCACTGGTGGGCTCCCTCGACCTTGCTGTTCACAGGAGGAGAAATGGGAGGAAAGTGTCTCGGGGCTTTTTTCTCCCATTTCTGACCATTTGAAGCATGCAATCGTAGATTTATCTCGCCTTTCTTAGTATTTTCTGCCACAGCCACAGACGAGGCGAAATATGTTTGTTTTGACGAAAATCTGTATGAGTGACTTTATACGTGGAACCGAAATATGCCGACTCCTTCAGGCTAAACTGTGCTTCTAATGTAGAAAGAAGTGCACAATGAGATTAGCTACTCATGCAGTGTGCTGGTACGGAGATTGCAGCTATGGATACTGTTTCACAGGAAAATATGTTTTGTTTTGCTGCAGTTTGTGTCATCAGACATTGCAGCGCATCATACCTACGACAGACGATGGTGCCTGCCGTGTGTTGAGACCTTCCAAGGTGACCTGGGCAGTTACCGTACTTGTGAGCATGGGTGCTTCCACAACCTTGCCAAGGTAACCTCTAGACCTGGGCAAGTATCGCCTCATATGCAATGCCAAAACTTCCCTTTGCGAGGAAGGTCATAACCAAGCTGCACCAGAGCCTGCCTGGCTACCCCTAGCGTGACATATAGCAGCATCACTATAAGCGGCATTCCGTGTTTCCAGAATTAATCCTTTGTCGGTCATAATGTAGGAAACCCGAGACTGATAAAGCAGGGAAACAATGTCGGAGAAGAAAGACAGGGGAAAAGAATGTAATCCTTTGTGGCATTGGAGGGTGTTTTCTGGAGTTTACCTTTGTGGAAAATTTGATGTTTCTCAGAGCTTGTTTTGATTAAATTCTCAGTTTTTCAGAATAATTTAGATATTAAATTTGCTTGCTGAGTTTCCCGATTCTCAGAAAGTCAAAAGAAACAGAAAAAATAACCAGACACAAGTGCATTAATTAATTTATAGTCTCAATGATTGCGGAAGGAGTTGCCTGTGCCTAGACGAGGTTTCTTGAGCTGAATATGGCGGTGTGACTCTAGATCCTCTACAACTCGCAGTGCACCCCAGTTAATACCAACTCTCCCACGACAAAACTTGCAAACCAGGGTTACTTATCCTACCTAGTTTGGCGCAGTATGGCCGTCGGAGCTCTTGCGCCATAAAACCCGTAAACAACAACAACAACTGGGTTACTTATCCAGGTGTCGGTACATTAAGCTATCAGTCTCCTCGATTCGGTCACTGAAAAACTTTGTTTTACCCACCTTTTTAAAGGCTCCCTGACATACTTGCTACTCACAGCCGTAGGTGCCACGGGAACGTGCCGCGCTGCATGGCTGTGCGGGGTGAAGTGTGAAATCTAGTTCCGCCGCCTTCGCTCGTCCCATAAAATCTGCCGGCTAATGGCTTCCTTCATGATAGAAACTGTACCCCTCTTCACGTTACGAAGCCCAAATGGTTTGTTCGAAACTCTTGTTTGTTTGGAGCATGGCTAGCACAACCACATCAGAGAACAGAATGGAACATATTTCTTTCGTGCTGCTGAGCTATTGTTGGGGTTCTGCAGACTTTATTTGTTGCCATCGAAATTCTTCTAATCAGTTGGAAACAAGTTCTACTGCCAAAACCCAACCCCTCCCCACCCCGACGTCACAAATACTGATGTCACATAGACAAGGGGAACACGACTACAACATAAACAGAATCACTTCTGGACACTAAGGCATACATTGCCAAGATTGCAGATGTCAAGCAGAACTAAAATCATTGCCCCGTAATAAGTAAAAATAATATTCAACTAATTAGGGAAGTTATTGAAGCTGAAAAGATTTCGAGGTTAGAAGAAAACTGTGTCACTAAACCTTGTTTAGATTTATTACAAAAAATAATTGAATTATCTTGCATCCACATGAAACCAAAAATAACAAAAAAAATCTTATTGTTTAAAAAGACAGGCGCAGGCAGAGAAGAAATAATACAAGTCTGAGTTGCAAGTCAGAGCTTCATGAATGTCTTTTCCTTTTGTGTGTGCCTGTGCTTGGTTGCGAATTTTTCGGGCTGTGGAAAAGTATGCAACACCAGCTTGCCCGAGCCTCCATATTTTTAATACTGCCAGTAGAAACTTTCACTTTGAAAATATGATGAGGACCGAATTTGAAAATTCAATGTCGCCAAACAATTTTTTGCGGACGTAAGGTTTTGGTTACGAGGTCAGTCATAGCTACTGGTGTATTTAGCCAATCTTGAGTCAAATTTGTGACCTTGAAAAAAATTACAGGTATACTGTTACATTCTCCTTAGCCTCCTGAAGATGTAAATCACTGGATTGAGCCCTTACCATATTGTTTTGTCTCATAACTGATGCAGGTATCTTCTTTTTTCCTTCAACTCAGTTCGACGTAGGAGCAGCCAAGGCGTCCTGTCGCTTTCACGTGAGCAGTGGCCAGCACTGGAAGAAGCAACCTTTGGACTGCTGTAATCCATTCTTTGGGCAAGTGAATAAATTTACAGTTGAAAACGAGCGTGTTGGTTAATAGATACAAAACTTGAAAGTATAAAACAGAAAGGACGAGGACGGGAAGAGGACATCTTTCATTTAGCAACAACATAGACTGGGAGATGCGTCAACCACCGACTCAGAGAACATAACTTGGAAGCATCAAAGGCTTCAACTGAGTCGTATCACCCCATTGTCGTTCGCAGCCGCACATGCGATGACTGTACACCTCATTTTTCTAATACTAATATACTGGGCGGGCACGATAAGAGATTTGGAAGAGAAATCATCGAGTCATTTGCCATGGGGACTGTTAACAACAACATTTCTGCACCGTCATTATCATTGACAAAGACAGAGGTCGAATTCTTAACACCAGAGATGACTAGGATATTGACACCTCGTCGTGACGCTACAGCTTTTTAAACTTGTATATTTATAGTACAATTCCCTTTTTGGACTGCAAACAAGAATAATTCCGCATTATCACTGACAATGACCAAGGTTAATTCTAAGTAATCGAAAATAACTAGATTACTGATGCGCTTTTCAAACTTTTCTTTTAGTGTATTCCCCTTCCTTTATAACTAGTATCTCCTTTCCCTCTTTGAGAACGTTGAGACCCTTGGGGGCCGGTTTTATCGTTGTGCCATTCTATGTTGTTGCTAAATGAAAGATGTCCTGTTCCCGTCCTCGTCCTTTCTGTTTTATACTTTCAAGTTTTGTATGTGAATAAATTTCTTTGAAGCAGAGACCTGGTGTTTGCACAGCAACTCCAGAGAACAAACAACACAAACACAAATGTTTCTGTGCCCAAAGCCTTCGTAGCTGCTTGAACTTATTGATCTGAGCTTGCACGTTGCAATGTTAAGGCAAGATGCAGATATAGTTAACGTCTCTCTAAAAAAATTGGGGGCACCTTATGCTTGGATGTCTAGCTTGATCAACTTGGAACGTCCAGCCGAATTGAAACAAGGATCTAGCCGAACTGAAGCATGCAGCCGAATTGAAACTTGTAGCCGAACTGAAGATTTAGCCAAACTGAAGCGTCCAGCCGAACTGAAACTTCTAGCCGAATTGAGGATGTAGCCGAACTGGAACGTCCAGCCGAATTGAAACTTCTAGCCGAATTGAGGCAATAGCCGAATTGAGGCGTCAGCCGGATGGGGACGACACCGAGGAAAAGGAGGAGGATGTCCCCTAGGCCAGTTTTTCTGCCGTATGTACACATATTTTCACATAGGATCAAGCAGGTGGCTGAGAAGTTTGACGTGCCTGTTTCTCAGCTCCTTCAAAGTTGTCCCGTCTTTCCGCTGCAGTTAATCGTGTTGGGTTATCTGGGTCTCGGTGCGTGGTTAGCCACCGAACCCGGTATGTTGCGTGCTCGACTGCTGTCGTGTATCTGATTCCTTTGTCGTGTGGCAGGGTGTACATAGGTCAGACGGGGAGGTGTGTTAATGTTAGGGCCAGGGAGCATTCCCTCTCCCTTCGTTCTTCAACGTCGGGACACCTTGCAGTTCACTGTGACGAGTGTTCGTGTTCTCCGGTTTTCACGGAGATTAGGATTCTCGCTTTTCACCACAACAAAGTGACAAGAGAAAATGATTCGGCGTTCTTTTATTTCTACCTACGGAGCGGACGCGTGTGTTAGTGCCCCGTCCGTGGCCTTGGCGGATGACAAACTGTCTTGCATCAAGAAATTAGGCAGATTTGTTCAGGTGTTCGGGCGTGCCTCATGGGGGTGAATTATGTTTTATCTATCTTGCATCTTTTATGTTTTCCTTCCTGTTCCTCGCTGGAATAAACTTCAGTTGCCAGTCAGCGTTGTGTTCGTTCACTTCTCGTTCTTGTCCTTTTTTTTTTTTTTTTTTCGCGCTGTTTACAAGTTTTCAGCATTCGCTCAAATGAACTTCGATGAAATGGATGTCTTCAATCTTTTTGTTTATGCTCCGACAGCTCCATCTAAAGACCCCAGTACGGAAGCATTTCAAATTGGACAATGACAAAAACCAGTCAGTATGTCAAATCGACAAGTGTGGGCTGCGGCTCTCCGGACAGCTTGCTGCCATCCTAGAGCGGCGCGTACAGCGACGCCACAAGGCAGTGTATGATGCGCTTCTGCTACAGAACCCGTCGGGTTACAGCACTCCTGAGCCGCCCACCAGTAGCAGCCATTCTGCAAGTCAGTCACCAAGAACACCATTGAAGCAGCCAACATAGCCATCTGCCGTACAACGGGGCTTCCGTGTAACGTCGAACTTAACCGGAAACGAAGATATGAACGTATAAAATAGCGCATAGAAGACAAGGACAAGAAGTATACAGGAGAGGCGCTACCTGTATACTTCATAAGATGAACCAACTAGCCCAGCAACGTACCCTACTGAAGATATGGACGTATGTGGCGGGATCGTCACTACAAACGGCCAAACATTTCGCTTGATAAATGACTCCGGCTTCCCGAAAATTATCCATCCCGTGCTGAAGGACCTCAAAGATCGCGTCACAGTAAGTGCCGGAAGCGTCCGGCAGAAAGCCTAAAAAAAGGCAGAAATTGCCAGAGGAGAGGTCTACGACTTCCTTAGGGAACGCTTGGTGTCACCGAAAATTGACTGCGACACGCGTCTGGAACGAGCAGATCTCGTTCCAGATGTCGAAAATAGAAAAATAATAGACGTTTACATATCTGTGTAACGGAAAATTAGTGCGCAGCTCTTGAGGAGGAGAAGACGATATGCCCCTCCTCCTACTTACCCTCCCCTCCTCTGTACCCTCTCATCCTCCGCTACCCGTTCTCCTCCTCTCCCCTACTCCTCCTTCTCTCCTCCTCCTCCGTACCTTACCCTCCTCCTCTTCCTCCCACGTGACACTAATTTTCCCACTAAATCTAGCGGAGAAACTGAAGTTGTTCATAGCTGACACGACACTAAGTCATGTGACGTCCTTTTCCCCGCTAAATTTAGGGTGTAACTGAATTGGTGTTTGGGTCACGTAACGTCAATTTTTCCACTAAATTTAGCGGGGAACTGAATTGCTGTTGAGGTCCCGTGACGTCATTTTTCCCTGTAAATCTAGCGGAGAAACTGAATTTGTTCATATGTGAGGTAAAACCAAGTCATGTGACGTCATTTTACCCGCTAAATTTAGCGCATAAACTGAATTGAAAGAGGAGCGGAGGAGGAAACGGTACCGAGAAGGGGGAAGGGCATACCCTCCCCTCCGCACCCTCCCTTCTCAAGAGCTGCGCTCTAATTTTGCATCACAGAGTTTAGGAAACGTCTTCCATTTCTTTTTTTCTTTTTTTTTTTCAATTGAGGGATCTCTTTTTCAAGGAATGAGGTGAGCTGCGCACACTAGGGTGCCTTCATGTGCGCTTCGCATAGGGTGATGCAAACTGCCCGCTTCCCTTTCCCAGTCCCTCTTTAGCGCCATTTTGGTTCTCCATTGTTTCGCCGTGCGCTGGAAAGTGGCCTTTGTGTCCATCGGTCCTCCCGTCCGAGGGGGAAAACGCTAATCCTCCCTCCGTGGGTTCCACAACGCTGCTCCGAACTTGTGAGATAAGGTGCTTGTTTCCGGGAAGGTTATAAGCCCCGCGGATCATCGCCGAGAACCAAGATGTCTGCTGGTCTGTCGGCGAGTGGTACTACAAAGAATGGCATCACCCTAGCAAAGCGCATATGAAGGCACCCTAGCGCACACGCTGCAGCTCGCTATACATGATGCTCTCGAGTCTACAGCTGCTAGCGATATAGAACAGAACGCCCTAAAAGTTGTGAAAGAAATGATGTCGCAGACCGTGCTGTCCCTACTTCGCAAGTCAGTCTGAAGAAGCCCATCCCGGATTGCGTAACGGGGAGGATGTCCACGGGACCATGATGTGACGATTGCTGGAGCTGAAAGAGTTTTGCGACGAGTTTATCGCAGACGATTATGTGTGTAGACAGCAAACAACGAGGGAGATTGCCGAGGAGTACCACATATCTCGACGTGGAAATGGTGCGTAAGTCCGCCCTCAATCGCTCTGTTTGATAAGTAACTGGCGTTCCTGGGGGCACGTATTTGATAGTCATAGTGCATGACAAGGTGATAAGAATTGTTTCCGATTTATTCACGGCAATTTTTACGTGTTGCTTTTCAATAACGTTCACTTGAGAGTCAGCGCTCTGTCTGTCTACGTCTCCTCTTGTCCTTCGTTTCGTACCCGCTGTTTTTAACTCTTCAATATTTTAAAAGACAACCTTTATAACCACCATATTTTTAGCACAGTTTCATAATTCTACTGCGATATGAAGGCAAATTACTATATATATATATATATATATATATATATATATATATATATATATATATATATATATCTTTGAAACAAAAATTAAAACTTATGGCTTCTATCTTGTATCACACAGTCAGAAAGTACTTTAGTGAAAATCTATTAAGTTGCTGAACATCTTACTAATATGCACATAACTGAAACCACATAATAATAAACTCTAGATTTTTTTAAGACATTATAATGAAACAAATTCCAATACTAAGAGAACGAATGACACCTATTGGCCCGTGCTAAATACTCATCTGGATTTAGGTACATGCTCGGCACACTACTCGATTAGGCGCTGGTTATGTGGAAACCATTGAGATCTTCAATGTTGCTGACGGATTGATGATTGCTGCATCCTAAATGCGCTCGACTGCATCTCCAAGTCTAATAAACTTTATGCAAATACCGCATGTCTCGTCGTTTCAGTTGGCGTGATAAGCGGAGATGTACACGAGAACAGTTTTTGGGGCTTCGTGACGAATAAGTACAATTTATTTCAGAAGTTGCGAAAGCTTTATGAGAAAGAGTATAAGACAGGAATTATTGTGTCTAAAACCAAATATAAAAATTAAAAACACTTAGTGAATCAAAAAAATGGGAAAAAAAAGCAAAAAAAGCAAAAAAATGGGAAAAAAAACCACCAGACAAAAGAAAAGGTTAAAAACCTTTTCTTTTGTCTGGTGGTTTTTTTTTCCCATTTTTTTGTTCCTAAAGGTCTGTTGATTTGCCCAAATGCAAAGTTCAATTCGCTAGAAGAGTGTTTTGGATTATTTTCGGAAGTGGTTCTGAGATTAAGTAACCGCAAACCATGCAGAAAGCAATGCGGAGTGAGTTCACTTAAAAAAATTATGTTTCGCGAACGCTTACTTTAGATTTGTCCATCTCAGTCACAACTTTCCCAAGGTATCAGGCAAGGACAACTGAAAATTCAGACCAACATATGCGTCTCTCACGATAAAATGTTAGTCGGTTGCGCAAATTAACAGGACGACTACTGATCTGCCTGATATTCAAACTTCGCGAAGTCATGCGTGTGCTTCAGAAGAACGTTAGGGCTAAAACTCATTCGCACTTTTGTGTGGTGCTAAGGTCGCGTTATTACGGTTATTTGAACTTAAACCATTAGTGCAATTAGAACTATGCTGTCTCTCCATGAACTCACTGCAAATACATTAAATCAAGGGGCTCACGATACATTTTTCGCTCCATTAACGCTAGTGTAATGTTGTGCTTGGTAAATCACAAGACTCCGGTCACTATGTTCATGCAAGAACTCAGCATTTCAAAGTGAAAAAAATTGTACCGTCAGGAAACCTATTTTTTTGGAAGCATACATAGCGTCTATAATAATTAGGTATAATGTTCCGCATAACTAACATTTTGGTAAAAGTAAGGGCTGCAGCTCGGAAGTTTAGCGATAGAAATATATGGAAATCTTATTTTAGAGATATTCCGGAGTCCCTGTACCTTTGTATCGAGATACGTTTTAAAGATGCTTTTGAGTCTCAGTAGTGAAATACATATACGATGCATCGATTGCAGGTTAGTGTGGGATCTGGGCCAATTATTGTTTATTTACGCCGCTGCTGCTGCCAAGCAAACTTCTTTGATTTGTTGATGTTCTAGAATGCCTCTAGATTCGATCTGCATTGTATGTAAAGAGGTGTTATCCGACGTAGAAGTTTCTATTACGTGCTGTGAATGTGACTCTTTTTACCATCTCGGTGCGTGCTCAGGTGTCACAGCCGTAGCCTTCAAGTCTAAAAACGCAAGCGCGTGGAAAAGTTGGCAATGTTCTACTTGCCAGAGAGTAAAACAAAGAGGAGGTCAATCCAGTAGAAAGGGAGAAGTAGTCGACATGCTTACACTATTGGTAACCATCAACGCCAAACTAGACAGTCTAATGAGTCTAAAAGAAACCGTGACCGGAATCGAAACGTCAATGCAGATGCTATCTGATAAGTACGATAAGATTCTCGAGCATATTAACCATCAGGACAATGAAACAAAGGCAGTGAAAAAGCGTCTTGAAGCTCTTGAACGACTAAAAACCGGCGAGGAAATCGAACAGTTAAAACGCGATCTAAGCGATATGGAATGGCGCAGTAGGCGACCCAACCTCGAAATCTACGGGATCCCTGTAGCTAAAGAAGAGAACCTCTTGGTTCGTGTTAATGAAATTGGAGCAAGACTAAACCTTCCAGAACTGACTGACGGCGATATCGTAAATATACACAGGTTCCCGGCAAAGCAAGATAGAAATCCAGGCGTAATTGTGCGGTTCGCACAGCAGACCACTCGCGACCGGTGGCTTGACAAAAAAGAACTCAGGCGTAGTAGAAGCAACGTTTTCTTCCAAGAAAACTTGACGAGACAGAGTAAGCATAGAGTAATATACACAAGGTAAAGAGCGGACACTGCCATAGGCCCCAGCGGCCCAGATAGACCAGTGACAGGTAGCGCTCCTAGCGGGCGGAATTAAGTATAATCTGATTCCGTTTCCGGTCAAGTTAGTTTCGGTTTCGGTTTGGGCGTTTCTGCTCCGTTTTTTTCCGGTACCCTTCTCTCTCCCTCTTCCGTCCCCGCCTCTCTCGGCTCTCGGGAGCTCCCGAAAGCCGAAAACTCCAAAACCGCTGTCTTTTTTTCTTTTTTGATACTGACACACTTTTGCTTTATTTTTTACGATAGAGTCCGTGCAAAATGTGTCAAACAATATTTCGACTTACTTCACAAAGCAGAAGTATATATATTTCTTGTTCTTTTTCTATTGTAAAGCATTGAAGTTACACAATCGCCGCATTGACTCCTGGCTGGTGGTACAACAGTAAGGGTTTCGAACACATTTTATTGGACCACATTCATGTATACATGATTTACTTCAGGAGCTCTGTATGTTTCTACGAAAGAGATCGATTCTCACAAAAATAAATGAATATGAAGGACATCGGCATATCGTGCACTTCGTAATAGATTCTTAGCGGAACCAAGTTAACAAAACCTTTCCACGGAGAACATACATTCCCTTTCACGCCGACTCGGGTACGGGAAGTAAGTGAAAAAATAAATAAGACGTCGCTATCATTACCAGTCATAAGAGTATAATAACAGTGCGAAGCACACGCCGGATAGTACAAATTCCCGATTTCCGGCAAATATAAAAAAAAACACCAATTTGCATAGTCTAAAACTCACTGCGGGCGAGCCATTACCAAACAATGAGAACTCTATTCGAAATATGACAAGATTCAACGTCCCTAAACATTCCCCGAAATTGTTCAGAAAAGAAATATGTCTTCAGAAAAAAGCGGCTAAAAAACTATGGACAGTGGATACAAAAGGGGATACATTTTCTTTCAAATATTTTTAGCCTCTATACGCTATCTTCTATCGAAATTTTGTACAAAGTGGACAAATATTTTTGTAGGGAGCCGTGATACGCATTCGCTGGAAAAAGAGGAAACAAATATTTGGAGAGCAAACTGCACCACCCACTTAATAAGCTCCTTTTGTTTTTGGTTTGGCAACCGCCTCTGTTAATACACTATTAACAGTTAAACCTGTCTCGTTCTTACTAGCCACTGAAGACTGCAACCGAACTTTGTCCGAATTCCGGTTAAGAAATCAAACATGTCAACACAAGCGTATTCTGCAAAACAATTTTAAAAACCCTTTGGGCAAAGGCTAAAACCACCCAGACCTCAAAGTGTGCTATACAAGGTGGCACACACTCCTCGAATATGTGTTACACTCTCTATTATGGGAAGAAAATGATTTTCTAGCTGCTAAATGAAATGAAAGGCAGCCTGTGATGGTATTTTTAAGTTCCCCAAGAATTTTCCAGGCACGTGGTATGCTTTAGGAACAAGACAGTGCTGGTGAGGCCTGGTCAAGTTATTAGATTCATCCGATAGCAGCTGAGAACAGCCACTGCTGTAAGTTGTCTGGTCAAGCAAAAGCTTGATGAAATAGCCCCAAACGTAATAAAAAAGTGGACGAAGCATCAATTATGTTAGACCTGATGTCTGATGCCAGCTCAGAAATATACTCTAGTGGCGGGAAGTTATCAATTGGAAGACATTCCACGATGTCTGAAATTAAACTTTCATGGTGCGAAGATATTTGCAACTCCTTTAGGAGGTCAGCCTTGTCATCCTCTATGTTTTCATTGTCCGACAGTTTGAACAGTTTCTTTATCCAGAGGTGTTTTAGTCCTGAGATGAACTGATGCACATTTGGGTTAGTGTTGCAGCCCAGCATTTGTCGTATGTAGCTCCAAAAACGTTCTCAAGTGCGTCTTGCTACTGGCGTCGTGTAAGTAAGAACTTAAAGACATGGCTGCTTGAAAGCTCATCCCAGAGCATGAGGACACTTTTTATAGTAACTTGCCACCCAATGATGGCTTATCGCTGCCTCCTACTTTGGAACTGCCATGCTGAAATCCATCCAAGTTACTGGGGGAGAAAATCAAGTATTTCAGATTCTCCCTTCAGAATGGCACAACGCAACCCTGTCTTCTTGAATTTTTTAGCTATTTAGACAATCAAAAAGTATGCACATCCTATCACAGAAATAGGCTGTAGCCATGGCTGCCTCAGGAAGTTCCTTGGCATAAACAAGGGATATGATTGCAAGAAAGAGTGAGGCACTCAGTACCTGTGGGGCACAATTTTCTTCCATGTTACTGAAAGGTTCTTGAAAAAATGTGTCTCTCAGTAAGTTTCGAAGCCAATTGCAAACTCATCTCATGGATATAACAATAAAGTTCAACAATAGAAGACCACTCAATGACCTCATTTCCAATGCAAAGTTTGTGGGCTTGGAGATTGCTCTTGGTTGTTTTGGGAAGGTGCGGAACATCAAAGACAGTAAACGTGTTCGTTGTCAACTTCAAGAAATGGCTTATCACCACACACACCAAGCTTACGTTTGAAGCCCCCTAACCACAGACCACAGCCTTTACTGTGAATCCAACAGTCTTAAAGGGATACTGAACCAAGGAATTTAGTGTCCATAATAAGCGGCCCACGTTCTTTTCACGACCCAGCAGCTGCCGGTGTGCGCGAGCACACGCAACAAAAATGACGTCAAAGACCTCCATCCGCGGTTAATTAAGATGACAGTGAAATGTATGGGCTTCGGGAAGGAGAATAAAGACAAGTTCTTCATCTACACGGGGGTGTCTGGTGTAAAAGGTAAGCGATTAATTGGTCTAACAAGCACGTAGCTTCCACTTGTAGAGATGAAAAGCCTTTATTTATTCTCCTTTGGCCTAAAGCCCATACATTTCACTGTCCTCTTAAGCGCGAATGGAGGTCTTTGACGTCATTTTCGTTGCGTGTGCTCGCGCACACCGGCAGCTGCTGGCTCGTGGAAAGAACGTGCACCGCTTATTATGGGCACTAAATTCTTTGGTTCAGTATCCCTGTAAGCTCCTGAATGAGAGAAATGAGGAGACTGCGTTAAACAGAAGACATTATTGGAGTGTGCACAACAGTGTATGCAAGGGGCTAAACGCACCTCCTGGAAATTTCAGACAGCATAACAACCAAGGCTCTATCTGCAATGTTAGAGGTTCGTTCAACACCGTCATCTGTAAACCCATGGACAATGTCGTGTGCAGGGTCGTAAGTTAAATTCTTTCTTTTAAAACAATCTCATCGAAAATCAACATGCACACACGCCCAAGTGCAGCCAGACAGCCCGGCAGAAACAACAGCGCGAGAAGCTCGATCCGATCGGCTCCACGAATTCACTCCGAGCATGCGAGCACGCGGGCGGTCATGCGTCACCTTGATTGAT